CCGCCCGTTACCGATGATCGTCCTTCCGAACTCGGAGAGGGTGATGACGGTCACCTTGTCCCACAGCCCCTGCGCCACCATCTCCTTCCGGAAGTCGTCGACCGAGTTGTCGATCATCGACATTATGCCGTCGCCCGGAGAGTCCATCGACGCGTGCGCGTCGACACCCCTCGTCCCCATCCAGAAGGCCGCGCGCTGCACGCCCGTCGCGCTGCGCGCCTTGATGACGCGCGCGACGGTGCGCAGCGCCATTGCAAATGTACAGCCGCAGCCCCCGCCAACATCGCAGCAGTCGTTGAAGGTCGTCGTCGTTGTTGCCGCGTCAATCGCATCGCCGAGTGTCTCCGCGTCCTGGATCGCCCGCCCCAGCACGCGCGAGTGCGTCTCGGCGAAGATCGAGCGCGAGGGCGCGGCCGTCAGGTTCTCGATGTGGCGCCAGAGCCGCTCGTACTCCGAAAGCCGGCGGATGTCGCCTCGCCTCGAGTCGATGGCGAGCGCGAGGCTGGGCCCTCCTGTCAATGCTCGCGGCGCGGCACCAGACATGGCGTACAGCCCGGTCTTGTACGACGTGCGGCCGCTGCCGGCGCTCGCGTTGCCCTGCGCGTCGCACGCCGGGGTGTCGAGCGCGCTCATCACCTTCCCGAGTATGCCCGGCTCAAACTGGTTGTTTGAGAGCGTCTGACTGAAGTCCTGCTGTTTGTTGTGCGAGAAGAGCGCATTGGGAACGTCCCTTTTCGCTTTTATGAGGCCGAAGAACTCGTCGGGCGTAAGGTGCTCGACAAGCGCGCCGATGTTGGCGTATGCCGCGGCGTCTCCGCTCTCGTACATCGCCTTTGTCTTCACCAGCTTTGGGTGCAGTCCCATTACGTCGCACGGCTGCCGCTTCGCGCTCGCGTTTGCAGCGATCTGTTGGAGGGCGTCCTGCCTGAGCCCGACGCCGCTGTCTTCCGCTCCGGTGGTGAACAGCCCCCCGCGCGCCTGGAGGTACTCGTCGTAACCTCCGGCGGCCGCGTCGCAGAGAGAGTGCGGCATGAGCATGTTGAACGTGTCGAGGCCGCCGAAGGCTTCGATCACGATGACCGCCTTGTAATCGTCGCCGCCGAGAGGCGATGCCGGCGGCGGGCTGGCGGGCGGCGGGCTGGTGGGCGGCCAGCTGGGGGGAGGTGCGGCCGGGGGGAAGGGAGGGGCGTCCGGGGGCAATGGGCTTAATGGAGGGGGTGACGGTTGCGTGCGCTTGCAGATGGTGCTGGCCCCTCTGCAATGTCTTTCGGACGAACAGTCAATTTCATCTTCGTCCAGGTTCAGGTTGAAGTGGACGGTGTTAAAAGTGGGATGTATCCAGCACGCCTGAGGCCAGTCGTTCCAATCGTCCTCATAGTCGCCAACGGCTCTCATAAGTTGTAAGGCGCCGGCAGCGGCCTCGCACTCTTCGGAGGAGGTGATCCGCTCGTAGCCATCTGGGCATCCTTGTGCTACATAGTTTTGAGCGCCAATATCCGATTTGACAAACTGTGAGGGCGGCGGTGTCGCTTGCTGATAGACCATCAGACCCCAGCTGGCAGAGCCTTTCAGCGTGCAAGTGCTGTAGCATCTACAATTGTTGTCTCCATTGGTTGCATGCTCGAAGTATGGGTAGAATTTCCCATTATACAACGCGCACGTGCGAGAGCACTCGTCGACACTGATTTTCGCGATCCAGAGCATCTCATGATTCAAGCACTGATCGCCCGATGCCTCCCCGTATATGCTCCAAGAGGGTGGAAGAAGCGGTTGAGGCGATGTTGGCGGTGTTGTTGGCGGCGAGGACGGTGGTGGCGAGGGCGGTGTTGTTGGCGGCAAGCTGCAGAGGTATGCACACATGCAGTCGGCGAGGGCGAACTTGCTTCTCCTCGCTGCCTGCTGGGCCTGCGCCTTGAGCTCGAGTGCCACGTTTCGTCCTTCTACTCCGGCCTCTTTGCTGCGGATCCCTCAGCTGCTGCATCATCTGCCGCCGTAGGCACCCTGCTCACCGCCGTGGGGCCGCTCGCCGCCACAGCGACTGGCTCGTCGATCGGCGCTGCCCCTCTGACTATCAGCACCTTTCTCGCAGGAGCAGCGCTCATATCGATCCCGTCGGCCGCGTTGTTCCGCCATTGCGGCCGCCTCAATGGATTTTTGATCGGCTGCGGGTTATGCGTTTGTTCTGGTGCTGCTGGTGCAATTGGGCTGATCTGCAATATTCCCTCGCTGATATTTATCTCCTCCTTCCTGGCTGGACTAGCCCAGGGCCTGTCTCACTTCTATAGATTCGCGGCATTGGAGGTTTGCTCGCCATCGCAGCGACCATATGCGGTGACACTTGTCCTTTCCGGCGGCGTCATTGCAGCGGTCGCAGGGCCAAACCTGGCCCTCGCAACGAAAGAGCTTGGCCGAGTGTTTGGGGATTCGCGGCGCTACGAATTCCTCGGCGCGTTTGCCGGGATCAGCACCATCGGGGTCCTCAACGCGCTCTTCTCGGTCTGCGTCACGTTCCCAGCGTCTGCCGGCAAAACATCTGCGCCAGTCTCACAGAGCCTGCCTCGGCTGATGTGCGCGGATCCGCGATGCATCGCTGCTGTCGCCATCGCAGCACTCGCCCACACCAGCATGGTCTCTCTCATGAGCCCTCTCGTGGTGGTCATGCACGACGGCTGCGAGGCCGACGCGTATCCCATCGGCAGTTGCTGGAGCGACACGTGCCAAGCGAGCCATCCTGCCGGTTGTTGGTTGTAGCTGCCAACAGCTGTCTCTGGCGTGAGAGTAGGTACTCGAGCCTCACGTTGCAACTCCACTTTCTGGCCATGTTCGGCCCAGGGTTTGTCACGGGCCGCGTCATCTCGACGCTTGGCCCACAGCGGACCTCTTGTTGCGGCGCCTTCCTTCTGCTTATCGCAGCGGGCACGCTTGCGGCCGGAGGGGCGCTCGAAAATTTCATCGCTGGCATGACGCTGTGCGGGCTGGGTTGGAATCTGTGCTTCACTGCGGGCACATTGCTTCTCGCCTCGTGAGCTGCCCTCGACGGGTGTGCTGCTCACCACGAGCAGGGTTGAGCGGGGAGAGCACGTGTGTAGGTGCTACGAGGAGCGAGATGCTGCGCGAGTGCAGGCTCAGCCTAGCCAATGTGCCAACCCTACTTTGAAAGAAGGAGCGACCTCGGTCTCATTAGGGAGCCAACGATTTCATCATCTTCTTCTTTGCCGGCATCGGCAGCACTGGGAGCGGCTACATCAATGGGATATACGGCTGGCGCTGCGTCGCTGTCGCCGTGGCGCATGAGCCTGCCCGAGCCCGGCCGCAGCACGGCCACTCATCTGAGCTCCCCCCCCTCGTAGGGCATCATCGTCCTGGCCTTGATTCTGGCCCTGGCTCTACTCATGTGCTTGCAGCCAGCAGGTCGGGCGGCTGGCGAGGTTAATCAGGTGGCGCCCGAACCGGCCCCCGTCACGCGCGCATTTAGCGGGAGCGTGATCGACGTGGGAAGTTCGAGAGACAGTAGGGCGGTGACCGGGGGGGCTCGGGCCGGCTCACTTGTCTGATAGGCTTATGAAAAACTCAGACCGACTGTGACAGACGCGAGCCCACGAGCGACACACGAGTGGTGGGGCAAGGGGGGGCCGGGGGGCGGGCGGGCGGGGGCGGGGCGGGGGGTGCGCGGAGGGGCGAGGGAGGGGCGGGGGACAGACACGAACGGAGACCTGACGAGAAAGAAAGATATATCCTGTGCGCCTGTCACTGTGCGATTCGGGGCCCGGGTTGTGCGTTTATGTGAAAGCGCACACCATCAATCAACAGGCTCACGCAGCTCGCAGGGAGGCGCACGTGCGATTCAACCACGAATCCGCCTGGAAGACGTCAGCCCAAGCGTGCCGTCAGAAGCTGTTCATTAGACCCCCTCCCCCCCCCCCATCCCGCGCGCGAACCTCTTCCCGCCGCCTCCTCTGCGGCCTCTTCATGCGGCGCGCGGGAGCGCCCCCTCCTCCTCGAAACGGCGCAGGTAGGTGCGGAGCAGCGCCGGCGTCACCGTCGGGCAGGGGTGGCCACGCTCCGCCAGGTGGGCCATGTGTGCCTTGGAGCCCGTCGAGCCGAACGAGGGCGGAGCTGCCTTGAGAGCGCCGAGCAGCCCGCGCAGAGGGTTGGGGTGCGGCGCCGCCTCGGGCTCCGCCTCCAGCGCTGCCTGCAGCACGGACAGCCCCGGGCCCTCTCGGGCAATCTCGGGCCCTCTCGGGCAATCTCGGGCCGGTTCTCGGGCCGATCTCGGGCGATCTCGGGCCTCTTCCTCCAGCGCGGCCTGCCGCTCGGCCAGCCTATATCTCCCCATATCTCCCCATATCTGCCTGCAGCTCGGCCAGCCACGCCTCGTAGCTCGGTGCGACGGGCACGTCGAGCTCCGTGAGAAGGTCTTCGTACGGAAGCGAGGCGCCGTTGTCGAGAGTGAAGCAGGGCGTCTCGCAGCGCTCGCGAGGTGCCGCCCCGCCGGCCTCCTGAGTGGCGATGCCCCCGATGGCGCCCGCCACCCAGTCCACCGGAGACATGTCCACCCGAACGCGCATGTCTGGCAGCGGCGGAGCGAGGCCGAGCAGTCGGAAACCGACCAGGTACCGGTTGAGCGAGTCTCCAATGTTGCAGTCTCCCGTCACAGAGTGGCCGCTGATGGCGCCCGGTCGGAAGATTGAGTAGCGCGCCGGCGCGCCGGCGGAGCGGGCGGCGGCGTTGGCGTTCTCAATCAGCCGCTCGGCGACCCACTTGCCTTGCACGTACCCGTTGGCACCGTCCACCGCCGCCATCTCGATCCGTGGCGGCGCCTGCGCGTCGTGGCAGGCTCGCCGTCCGCAGACGCCGGCGGTGGAGACAAATGCGACGTGCACCGGCTTACGGTTGGCAGCCTCCAGGCCGTGCGCGAGCCGGATCGCACGAACAAGAGAGCCGACGTTCGCCTCCTTCAGGCCGGCGTACGCGGTGGCGTGGTTGACGGCGGCGGCGTTGTGGATCACCAGACGCACCGAGGCGAGGCTCGCCGCTACCACCCCATCAGAGAGCCCGAACCCTGGCAGCGTCACGTCGCCGGCCAGGCAGCGCAGCTTCGGCGAGCGAGCGGCGTCGCTCCACACTCCCCGCGCGCGCAAGGCGGCAGAGACGCGCTCAGCGGCCGCGGCGTCGGAGGCGGCGCGGGCAACGCAGACGACCGCCGGGCCTTTGTCGGCGGCGAGGAGGGAGGCGAGCAGGTGTGTGCCGAGGAAGCCCGTGGCACCGGTGAGAAGGAGGGCGTCGGCCTCGCCAAGCGGCACCGCGGGCCCGAAAGGCACTCCTCCCATCCCGGCGGCCAACTCGGGCGGCACCGCCGCCTCCGCCTCCCAGTCGTACGCCGCCGCCGCCACTGCCTCGGTCGTCTGCACGAGGTTGAGGATGGCCGCCATGGTGACGCCGCGCAGCAGCGCCTTTGGCGGCACGCCGCACCCGAACCGCTTGTTCAGGCTGCCGGCGAGGCGCGCGGCGGTGAACGAGTCCAGCTGCAGCGGCTTCGCGCCGAGGCCAGACACGTCGACGCCAAGCAGCGACCCGACGGCCGCCTCCACGGCACACATGTCGGCGGCGTTACCGTCGCCGGCGTCCGTTGTGGCGGGCGGCGCGAGCCGCGTCAGCACGCCGTCCACAAAGCTGAAGGCGGCGCCGGCGTCGGCGGCGGAGAGCTTGGGCATGCCGAGCATGGCGGCGAGCTTGACGCGCTGCACCTTGCCCGTCGGCCCTTTCGGCACCTTGTCTGCGTACACGATCGCCTCGGGGAGCCACTGCATTGAGAGCTCGCCGGTGTCGAGCCCGAAGCGATTCAGCTGTGCAAGGCTGACCTCTGCGCCGGGGTCGAGGACCGCGATGGCGACCACCGACTCACCAAGCTCCTCGTGTGGCGAGCCGAAGGCGAAGAGGCTCGACACTCCGGGGCAGCGAAGCAGCACATTGTCGATGGCGACGGGCGCAATCTTTTCGCCGCCACGGTTGACCTGCTCCTTCTTGCGGCCGGTGAGGAAGAGGTAGCCCTCCTCGTCGAGATAGCCGAGGTCGCCCGTGCGGAAGAAGCCGGATGGCGTGAAGGACTCAGCGTTGGCGTCGGGCCGGTTGTGGTAGCCCTAAGAAGGAAAGGAGTGACGTGATTGTGCCTCTCGAAGCGGGCGGTCGCGAAGGTCTGCGCCTTGGTGACGTTGCGGCCGCGCACGCTCACCTCGCCCACCTCACCGTTCGGCAGCGCCGCCTCGCCCTCCTCCGGGAGGATTGCAATCTCGACGTTGGTCCCCTTGCCCACCGAGCCCGCCTTGTGCGGCCCGCGGCTCGGCAGCGGGTTGGAGGAGATCTGGTGGGCCGCCTCTGTCATCGCATACGCCTCG